GAGTTGTAAGCCGATATATGAGCAATCCTGGAAAGCAGCATTGGGAGGCAGTGAAATGGATCATGAGGTACTTAAAAGGCTCATCGGAGACATGTCTTATTTTCACAGCTGGCGGTTTGAAACTTGAAGGCTTTGTAGATGCTGATCTAGCAGGAGATGTTGATAGCAGAAAGAGTACTACAGGTTATATATACACTCTAGGAGGCACTGCTGTTTCTTGGAGTTCTACCTTGCAAAAGATAGTTGCTCTTTCAACGACAGAAGCTGAATATGTCGCAGTTTCAGAATCCGCAAAAGAGATAGTATGGCTACAGAGTTTCCTGCAAGAATTGGGCAAGATGCATGGAAAGGGTACTTTGTATAGTGACAGTCAGAGTGCAATCTTCCTTGCCAAGAATCCAGCATTTCACTCCAGAACAAAGCACATACAGATCAAATATCACTTCATCCGGCAACTGCTCGACGATGAACAACTGTTACTTGAAAAGATCTGTGGAAGCAAGAATCCAGCTGACATGTTAACCAAAGGAGTCACTCTTGATAAACTGAAGCTGTGTAAAGCTTCAGTTGGACTTAAAGATTAAAAAACAGATCTAGCGCCATTTGTGTCCAAGTGGGAGATTGTTGGGTGTGGACACAACATGGTTGGTGGCAGCCATGTTAGACATGGCTAAAGTCAATGGTGGTTGCATGGTGGGTGCCTAACCAAAGAAATTGTTGCCCACCATTGTTGACTAAAGAAGAAACTTGTCTCCCACATCAGCTATAAATAGAGAGTGCCATTGATAGCTGATGAGCACCACGAGATAGAGAGAAACACAGAGAGAGAGCTAAGGGTGAGAGTTGAGTTGAGTTGAGAAGTTTTCTCCTCCTCCTTGTTTTGTTGTTTGTATTGCTTTTGAACTTGATTAATACAAACCAGTAGCTCCGTGGAGTAGGCAAGTTGCCGAACCACGTAAATTTGTGTGTGTTTGAATGTTTGGATCTCCTATCACTCTTGTCATCGTCATTTGATTTTTATAAATTTAATTGGATATTTGAAGGTTGCAATTATTGATGGGATCGTGATGGGAGGTGGTGCTGGGCTATCCCTGCAGGGAACTTTCAGGATTGTCACAGAAAATACTGTATGCTTCTGCTTTACATACTGCATTTTATTCCTTTGGCAACATAGAAAACTGATTTCTCTTAGTGATATTTCTGAAAGAGCAAAGAGCAGTGTTGGTTGGGGAACCTTCATTTATGCAACATGGTTTTTGCATTTTGCCTCAGAAGGACTGTCTTCTTTTCATGAATTAATGTTCCTTCAGTTCGAAGAAAGCTAACTCTTGGAATCTTCATATTTTGTGATGAAAATACAAAACAAATGATATTATAAGCATCTGCGTGTTCATCTCATTTGTACAGTGGATAAGTAATGGTGCTTGATTGTTACATCAACTTGCATAGGTGTTCGCCATGCCAGAGACAGCAATAGGACATTTTACTGATGTTGGGTCATCATATTTCCTTTCCAGGCTCCCTGGATTTTTTGGTAACTACCTACTCAGTACTCTATCTACTGTAATAATTGTCTGGTACGATTTTATGATTTATCATCTTCCTTCTGAGTGTTCACCCTCGTGAATATTCATGAACCCTGTTTGTTTTTTAAAACGTAAGCACACTGCAGTGTTAAGAAATTTTTTCAATGCATCATGGAAGATGAAAATTCCTTCTCTGATTCTTTTATTCATTAGCAATTTAATATGGTCTTGAAGATTCTGATTCAGTTCTGTTTTTACTCATTCTAACTCGTTATATAGGTGAATATTTGGGACTTACTGGAACTAAGATTAGAGGAGCAGAAATGGTTGAGTGTGGCCTTGCAAATCATTTCATGCTCTCAAAGGTAATGTCTCTTAGAATTGTGCTCGGTTTAATTTACGATTAAAAGGTTACACAGAAAAGCAATTGAAAGTAGGATATAATTGAATTTATAAATTTCTTTATCTGCACCAGGAATCTTCTGCAGGAGCTTTTTCTTGTTTATTTCATTATTCAGCAGTTTAGAAATTTATTTTTTTTCCGATCATTTTAGGAACTAACAAAAATATGGTGCTCTTGATTTTTTTAGAGTTTTGACCTATAATAAACTCCATGATGCCTGAGGATTTAACTTATAACAAGCTCTGTTATCCTTCACAATCCCCAATCCTCTTGACAAGGGAACCTAGATTCATTTTAATGACACCAACCAGTTTCTTGCTGCAGTGACAGTTATTTTGTCGTATATGTTCTCTTATTTACCATCAGAGGATTGCATAATTTCTTTCTCTTCCGTTTTTTTGACGTAGGATGTCCGTTTGTTGGAAACTGCACTAGATGAAGTAACTTCTTCTGATACGAAAACGATTTCTGAGATCATCAGCAAATTTATGCACAAACCAAATGTTAAACAGCATGGTGCTTTTAGCAGGTAATATTCGGGTCCCTGAAAATTTTGTGCTGCTTGTATCAATATCTTCTAGTGTCTGTTAACATCCAACCTGAATTTGAATATCCAATCATTAATAGATTGGAGATCATCAACAAATGTTTCTCAAGAACAACAGTTGAAGAAATACTATCATCACTGGTAAGCAGCTTTTCTCACTAAAGTTAGTGTAGAAATCCTCAATTAGGAATGCCATCAATATGATACCTGCTTGACTTGTTTTAGGAGAGTGAGGCAGAAACTAGAGCAGAAAAGTGGATTCTTGAGGCAATGGATTGGATGAAATCAGCCTGTCCAGCACGCCTCAAAATTTCCCTTAGATCGGTATGAATGATTTTAAGTGATTTCTTATCTTTTACCTAAATATTTTGTTTCAATTACATTTCAAAGAATGCTCCCCTTTTCTTCAATTCCCATAAATAACTTTTCGGGTGTCGATTAGATTAGAGAGGGCCGCACGCAAGGACTTGAGCAATGCCTCATCCAGGAATTTACTGTTGGTTCCCACATTGCGAGAAGAACAGTTAGCGATGATTTTTATGAGGTAATTATAGGAATGATAAGAACTTAATTTCAGTGATAAGAACATAATGCAATGACTATGCGTCTCTGCAGGGAACGAGGGCCATGTTGTTGGACAAAGACAGAAATCCCAAGGTGCATATGGTACTGTGCTTGATATGTTTTCTTATCAATCACATAATGGAATGTAATTGTCTTTTCTTGTTTTTAACAGTGGGATCCTTCAAAGTTAGAGCTAGTGACTGATGAAATAGTGGACCGATATTTCTCTAGAGCTGATGAAGATTACATGGAATCCCTTCAACTTCCTACCAGATCCAACTTTATTGATACCATGAGGCCGAAACTTTGAAACTGGAAAAGTTTTAGGGGGTGATCAGGACTATCTTTCTCCATGATCACAGAAGCAGACAGTTGTATAATTAATGGACGATGTCTTAATTAAATAATGCACTCTTTCATTGGAGAAAATTATATTTTTCATGCCTCCACCCCTACTTTTTACACGTTATATTGTTGCCTTGAGTCTGATCTTCCAATTCCTGTCTAAGCTCCAAAATTTGAACAGCCAAAAATTTGCTAAGTTGCGTTTGCCAAACACCCTCTAATAAACCTCCCCTTTGTGCTCGGAACATTACAAGATAGCACATTAAATGCTAATTAACTCGTAAAGGTTCAGAATCAAGGTTTTAGGTGGATCATTTGATTCAAATATGGTAATCTATTGATGTTGTGTGTGGTCCCACACCATGTGATGGTGGGACCACCACATTAATTTCAAGAGACAGCATGATTGTCTCTTGGTATTCAAATTAATATAGTTCGGGTATTGTAGCGGTAGAATTGAAAATAGAAGAGAAAAGAAGAAAACCAAGAGAGAAAAAGAGAAGAAGAGGCAGCAGAGCAGCCTGTGTTCTTCCTTCGATTTCCAGCTCGTTCACCGTTGGATCGGGTTAAGATTTTGACAGAAGCTTTTAGACATGTAACTCTTTATTCTGAACGGTCGGATCAAAGATTGGTGGTGTAGAAGCTGGCATTTTTGATAGAAAACGGGGCTGTCAGTATGGTAAGTTTTTCTCAAATAATTCTCCTTTAATCTTGTTGCAATCCGAGAATAAGTTGTTCTTGATGATATATATGTTGTATCCCTTAGTTGAATCTGAGGAAGAATGATTGTGAACCCATTATTTGTTGATAGTGGAAGTTTTTAGATGGACTACGGTCCCGTGGTTTTTTCTATATCGGGTTTTCCACGTTAAAATCTTGGTGTTGATTTTGTGATTATTTGCATTATATTTGATCATTGTTTGATTTTGTTTTACTGGACAAAGAGGAAAAGAATTGGAACTTGTGAATTGTGAATTGTATTCCGCTGAATTGATCTAGGTAAATTGGTGTCCGATTATTCCTAGTTTTCCCAACAAAGTGGTATCAGAGCATTGGTTGTGTAGATTGAATTTCTTGTGCAATTAAAATGGAAAAGGAAGATTCAGGCATGATAAAGCTCACTTCCTCAATTTATTTTCTATGGAAAACAATTATGAAAGATCACTTATTGCAATGACTTGGCTTTGCCGATTGAATGTAAAGGAATAAAGCCTGATGATATGGATGATGCAAAATGGAATGGGCTAAATAGAAAGGCTACTGTTAATGTTAGAAAATGGGTATCTTCTAAGTCCATTAATCATATTTCTCAAGAACATGATTGTTATACAGTTTGGAAGATGGAAGAAACATTTACTAAGAAGAGTGCACAAAACAAGGTTTTTGTAATTAAAGACCTTGTGAATTTGAAGTATAGAGATAGTAAAGACGCTTCGATGCATATAAATGTATTCCAAGGGTTCTTGAATCAGTTGTCATTGATGAATCTGGAGTTAGCTGATGAAATGCAAACACTAATCCTAATGAGTTCATTGTCGGATAGTTAGGAGACTTTGGTGGTGTCACTTAGCAATTCTACTCTAAATAGGAAGATCATTTTGAAAATGGTGAAGGATTGTATCCTTAATGAAGAGAAGAGGAGGAAAGGCACAAGCACTTCTGAGTCTCATGCACTTGTTACAGAAAGTCAAGGGAGAAGTCCAAGCAGGTTCTCTCACAGCAAGCAAGATAGAGAATCTAGTAATAGAAAAGGCAGATGGAAGCCAAGAGGAAGATCTCAGTCAAGGAAGGGTTTTAAGTGTTATTATTGTAATAAGCCTGGGCATATGCAAAAAGATTGCAGAAAGTATAAAAAGATAAAAAGGGTAAAGATGAAGACAAGAATGAAGAGAATGGTACAGTTGCAGTTGTATTTGATGGTGATGTTGTCATTGTTTGTATAATGGTTGTATTAATCTTGCATGTCAAGATACCACCTGGGTTGTAGATTCAGCCGGCTTGGACATTTGAGTGAGAAAAGCCTTGGCATCTTTGTCAAGAAGAACTACCTTCCATTAAAAGGTATGAACTTGAACACATGTACTCATTGTTTAGTTGGCAAACAACACAGAGTTGCATTTCAAAGATCACCTTCACA